AAGAACACAGCAGCTTGCATTGGTATATTATAACGATCTTATACAGTTTACTATTTTTTGTTCAGATGCCATAAATTGCAAGAATTTTCCACAGGGCCTCTTGGTCTATGCGGTCAAGGTTTTTTTGTTTTAAAGTCCACAAAGTTCAAAATAATTGGGACAGCTTTGTTTGGTTCTACAATATTTCTCAGAACAAACAGTTGATCTATACACGATCTCTCCGGTCGAAAACCCACCTGGTCCTTTCTTAGTCTCTTGTCTATTGCTGCTCTGATACGAGACAAGATAATGGAGCAAATTGGTTTCCTTGTACTGATAAAAGCGTTATTTCTTTCCAATTGCTGTAGTCTTTTAAGTCACCGTTTTGGGGTAGTTTTATTATGTTTCCCTTTGTCCATTTCATAGCAGCAAACAGAACACCAAACAGAACCAGGAGTGGCTCAAAATTCAATTAACGATAAAGATTCGAGACATCTTTACCGTTCATGTACGTATTAAATGACCGTGACTAGAGACTGCTTTAATAATAATTAATATTACTGATGAAATTGAAAGTCCTACTGTTCAAGATAGTCCAGTCCTTTTTAAGCAACAGAAGAGTCAAATTGGTAAGAAATGTGATATTCATGACGGACCTGTCCGCTCTCTGGACAATCGCTCAGTTCGCCTACGTAGGTGACGTCACCACAGAGCGCGCAATACGATGCCACTCATTGTGACAGCAGCTAGTAACAATGAGCCAGCGAGATAAACTGAGATGTAGGAACGAGTTTCTGTGGTGCGACATTGGTAAGCCCTTATTGTCTCTTTGAGTTTGAGCGTATTTTTATAGGCAAAGTGCTATTTGAATGTCGACAACTATCATTTTGGATTTACTTGAAACTGAATAAGAATTATTTTCAACAATCAGTCTCTTGTTCACTGTATTGCCGACAAAAATGACTGACTCCCCCGGTCTTGCCTAGTTAACGAATCGCCCCTAATGTAAGCCCTCCTTACCTACTGACCCTCCATCTTCCCCCCTCCCACCGGCCCACAATCTGACCTCA